TGCATTACCACAACCAGGGTTCGAGTCCCGCTGGCGGGCGGGTGCGACCAGTTCAGGCGAGATCCAAATTTCGGCCTTCTCCGGTCCATTCTGGATGAGAATAGGCTTTGGACAGCAAGAACAAGTGATAATCACTTGCAACTTGTCAGCTTTTGGGTTGACTCAACCATCAGCCCCCTCTCGTGCCTTTTGCGGCCTGCGGTGGCTAAAAAAACATGCCCAAACCGAATACAGTTACATGCAAGTGTGTCATTTGATCGGGATCCTTGCACACATTTGCTCTTGTCGACTGTGCACTCAGCATTGGCTTGCCGGTCCCCTCCACAGAAGCCAATTTTGTTGTGATGGGCGACAGTTCAGTCGCGCGATATTCGAGACCGGCTAGTCACTTCTCGAACGGTTGAGCACATGAACAGAGGCACCGGAATCGGTTGGCCAACTTCCCACTTTCGCGGTCCACACGACTCTTGCGTCCCGATCGTATCCACTGCTCTCTCTTCTGACGCTGATGCTGCTACTGCTGCTGCTGCTGCTGCTTTCCAGTTCAGCATCTGTTAAACAGTTCACATGTTTCCATTCAAATTCACATGGCCTCGTTTCTTAAAACCCATTCTCATCTCGAATGAATCGGACTGGACTGCAGTTTCGACCTTTCCTGAATTGGTACCATCAGCCCCCAGCAGCACTTGAACCCGGGTTGCTGTCGTCCTCGACACGGTAACCACCAAGCCACACGTGCTAGGCGCTGCATTACCACAACCAGAGTTCGAGTCCCGCTGGCGGGCTGGTGCGAACAGTTCAGCCGCGCGATATTCGAGACCGGCTAGTCACTTCTCGAACCGAAATCGGTTGGCCAACTTCCCACTTTCGCGGTCCACACGACTCTTGCGTCCCGATCGTATCCGCTGCTCTCTCTTCTGGCGCTGATGCTGACGCTTTTCTGTCAACGTCTGCTTTCCAGTTCACCATTCGGACAACCTCGATGATGAGCAGACATCCTCTTTCAGGTGTCGGGCCGATTCGACTGTCGCTTCAAGGGCTCCTTCATTCACTCGTAAACGGCCACTTTCTCTTGCACAACATGACTCATCGAAAGTACCATCTCTTGTTGCATTCTCTTCTTCCTCTCTCGCATGCATGTGCCACTGAGCATGTTTCCTGCTGATCATTTGTTCACTTGTTTCCATCTCCTCCGTCTCAGCATTGTCACCCCTCCCTTCTCTCATTTGGGCCCGGACACTGTTCAGCCTCCCTCCACTTCCTTTCGTTATTTCTCTATTCTCGTTTGCTCCAACAACTGCAAAGCCGGTTGTTACCGCCTACTTGGAAGAATCGTTTTGTCGCTGTTTGCATGCCGTTTCCTCATGCCTATTGCTGGTGTAATTGACCGAAATTCCGCTCTACCTGAAACTAATCTAATCCGCACCCGCGTACTGGTGTCTCACTTTAACAAGTGTCAAATTATATTTCCTCCGTTTTTTTCATATTCAATTTCAGGGATATCTGAGCATATAGCTTGCGTTGTGCATGTGTGTGTGTGTTTAGTAAACGTAAATTTAGTTTATCCTTGCATTATGCACAATTACTGGTATTTGTTTAGCTTGCTTGTGAAGCTGAGAAATTGCTATTAAAGTGTCGGCATTAAATCATTTTGTGGACTTGCAATTCGGCCACTCCGAGGTGCGTAACTTTGGTTTACTTGCCTGCCAGCAGAGACACCAGCCGTCATGCCACTGTTTGCAACGCTTTGAGAACTCTGTAGGCATACAGAAGCAAGGAAATTGTCAGTTTTCTACTCTCATAATTCATCTTTCACTCGTGGACACGGAGCTGGAAGAGGAGGGCGGAATGGAATGTTGAAGATAATCGCCCCAACTCACAGACTCGCCATGCTCGCTGATTATTTACTGTTGGCGATAACAACAACTTTGCACAGTTCTATGGTCTTGTCTTAGAGATAGACTAGAATAAACACTCAAATTAACAAAAATTATTGAGACAAGATAAAAATATCGAGGAGGTTTCGCTATAAAGATGCTAACTTACATCACTCGAGGTCATTAAAAATGGAGTTGGCGAGTTGAATTAAAAGTCTCCCACAATGCCATTTACATTCACTTAATTGCTACTCTCTCTTTTCATCTTTTTTTATTTTCACCTCTTCTCTCTCTCTCCTCTTTTCTTTTTCTTTTTCTTTTTCTTTTTCTTTCACATATACTCTCGTTCTTATATAAACCCTTTTCTCTTCTCTTCTATTCACTTTTTTATTTCGTCTTCTCTTCAAATGTTTCATATTTTATTCATTATCATATACAATCCAGGCTGACTAGAACACTCTTGTGTGTATAGTTTGGCTCGTCTGTGCACTCCATCCAATCCTATGGGACCCATACGAGAAATCAGCTGAGTCATTGTCGGCAGTTTGCTAAGAATTTGCCTATTTTTAAGTAAACTGCCTAAATGTGGACACATACCACATCGTCACCGTTTACCAAATTTCCACTCTTATTTCTTCGTTTGCTGCTTTGGCGTTAAGATAAGTTACTTGTAAGCCATTGGTAGATGACTCTTTCAATTGACGCGATAATTTAACTTTTTATAAGCAAGCGTTTAGGAGCCAAAACTTTATGATTGCAAACTGTATGATTATAGAGGTTGTTTGACTTTGTTTTCTCAACTTGGTCTGATTGGTAGGAAGACTTAGAGGAACGCACCCAGTCCGGAGTCCATTGTATGCATCACAATTTGCAAAGTCGGACCGTGGACGTGGTACATTCCCAAACGTTTCGCCGGCATCGTCAGTGAGTATCGCCATTCTTAGCAGCACACACCAACTCGTCAAAGAGACAAGTGAAGTCGATCCTTTGACCAAACGTGTGCTAAACAGTTGTGGTATCTCCCCTTCTGCTCTGGGTTATTCGCGTTTCCGGTATCATCCTATCATGCCTTCACTATTCCTGCCAATGTGACCAAGTTGCGAAAATAAGGTCAAACAATCTCTATACAGCACAAAATACCACACGATCTTGGTCTTCATACCTTTATGATCATAACTTTACAATCTAGACAATTTGCCTATTCAGCCCAATTTAGGATTCTTGAACGAGTAGTCTTGACAAAGCGCCCCTGACTTGTTTTCTTAAAAGCCTGCACACTTTTCTGAGCCCAGCAAAACACGGACTTGTTTTATGGTATTTATGCTCTGGACTACGTTCACATATACGGACCACATTGGAAAATTTCCGCTCATTATGAAACACAAAGAAACTATGACCCATGCAAAGATGGCCCTTGCAAAAAAGGCAGGAAATGTCATCCAAAAGGTCTGGAGTGCTTGTCCTTCAAGGCTAAGAAGTGTTTCTATAAGATCCAGTATGTGTTTCTTTTTATGGTTTGCATCAGAGTGCATCATGAGTCTTCATTAAAAGCAACATCATGACTAAAACTTCTGAACTATTTGCTGTTCTTTCGCCGACGAAGTGACAACTTCCATCGGCGTCGGTAAGACGCTTTTAATCCAGTCTCGTAAATGCATTCACCATTTCCTTCCGCGTGGAAGTCACGTTTCTCAGCTCGTTTTTTGCCGCAATCGAGTAAATAATTCATTGTCAAAACATTTCGCATCGACGGCTCCTTTGAGCTCTAGTCCG